CCAAAGCACATATAATTTTTTATTCAAACATCACCAATACCTTTCTTGGCTTTTCTTCCATCTTCGTTAGTTGATTGAGTCAGGAGGAGAATACTCACAAACAACCTCCGTTTGAACTTCTTTGCGGTGAAAATTCCGGTGACAGCCACAAGCAGCACACGTTAAAGCATCATCGGTTCTTTCGCTGCCGCTTGCCATAAACTCCCGGCAACCGTCAACGGCGTAGCCGCCGATGTTAGCGGCGTGATTCTTCTGACACTCAACGTAACGGACGTTGCTCGAAGAAGATGTTGTAGTGTAAGAGTTTTTTCTTTGTTTTATCACTACTTGTCTCTTCTTCATGATCTTCTTCTCAAACTCCCTAAACAGAAAGTAAGAGCCCTAATTTTTTTAAAGACTATTTTTTTTTTAATATACGAAGCAAAAGGGTAATTGACAATCCCCTTTGTAGCATATCCCTTACTATATAAATAGGGTTGTTGGGTGTTGACTATTTCTCTACCCTATTGACGGATTTGCCGAAGCATTTGTTAAATTATATGCCTAAGAATTTGAAAAATAGTCGCTTCAAAAAAAAAATATCATTGTGAAACTAAATTTATCTATATTTGGTAAGACAAAGACATCTTATATAATATTTTAAAGTTTTTCCGAATTCAAGTTATGAGAAGATGTCATGTGTCATCTACTCTTTTGGTATTTGTCTTTTCATTTTTTTTTATTGAAAACAAATTAAGTGCTAGGTTTAATGTAAATTAATTCCAAATATTAAAGTGTAACATAAAGATGACCAATTTCAATATAATAAGTCCATGAACCGATAATACTTTAACCATTATTATTATTATTTTTTATATCCACCAAAAACTAAAATTCTCAATTAAATGTGTTATTGTGCACTTTTAACGGTTTCAAAAATATATATTTATTTATTAAACACAACAATATACTATAAAAAACATATAAAAATTTAGATAGGTAACTACTATTTTAAAACAAAAAGTCACAAAAATTAAGTCACAAAATTTTTWAATAAAAAGAATCGTTACATTAATWAAAAAAATGGTTTGAGAAAATTAGTTAGTGATTTTAAGAATTTTAATGTTGTTAAAATGCTAAAGTTATCAATCATCTCATAACCAAGAATCTCGGTAGAAAATCTTACTCCACCACAAATTGTGAATAAAAATAACATAATAATTCACCAATGACTCGATCTCACACCATTTCTTGGGTTAATGTAACGATTCGTTTTATTAAAACCTCTTGTGATTTTTTGTTTTAACATAATAGTTACATATCTAAAGTTTTAAATATTTTTTTTATAGTATATTTTGTGTTTAATAAATAAATATATTTTTTTGAAACCGTTAAAAGTTCATACGAACACATTTAATTTGGAACTATTATTTTTGGTGGATATATAAAAAAAAATAATGGTTAAAGTATTATTGACTTCTCACACTACTGTTTTGGTTAATGTAGTGATTATTTTTATTAAACCATATGATGTAATTTTTATTAATGATAAATCTATTTATTAATATTTTCACATATAACATTGTATATGTGTAGCAATTTGCTCCAAATGTTTTAATCTTCTAACCTAGATAATTATTTACTACAACAATAATTTTTTGTAACATTAAATACAAAAATAATCAATAAACTAAAATTATTGGATATTTTATCATGTTAGTTTTTAAATCCACGCAACGCGTGGACAATCTCTAGTAGGTATATATATTTGTGTGTGTGTTTCGTAACATGAAATAAGTACAACAAATGATGTATATATCAGATTACTAGCTAGTGATCTAAATGTAAGCCATTTATAAAGAAGTATGCATGTTTACATTTAAGCCATTTATTGATGGTTAAAAATCAATCGGGTATATTTTCTTAGACTTGTAACAAACTTTTAAATAGATATACTTATTTCTAGACAATGATAAAGCTTATAAAATTTCGATATATGAGCGAATCTACTCTTTATTATACTACAATTTCAAAATTTAAAACTTGATTTCATTTCCAACGGTATCGTTCCAATGGAAAACATAAAAGAAACTCAGCAACCAGCCATATTTTTTTTCAACATTATTTTCACGTGCATTGCTTTGCATAAAGAGTATTTAATTAGTTCCTTGAAAAACAATTTATTGTAGCCACTAGCCGAATCATG